CGAAGCAGCTACCCATTTAGTGGTGCCTTACCATTTTAATAACTTGGCTAACAACACATAGTGGAATACAAAGACTAGACAAGGCTATCACCACCTGCTAGTGAAAGCCTAGCTAGTTTGGTTTTGGATAATTGATTATACCTATTGGACTAACCCTATGCTCTATGTTTGTAGAATGAGATATAGGTTGGTCCAAGTCCAAGAAGGAGCTCGATGGCACTCATGGTGATGGAGATGGCCTAAAGGTGTTGACCGACCCTAGGGGGGTCGGCGAACCCCCATGACTGGTGGGCCCTCACATCTTCTTCTAGAAGCATGGCCCACATGTCATAGTGGAGGTTGGACACCTTGGATGATGTTGTCACACCGATTTTGCTTCCTTGTGGGCCCATGGATCCGTGTGACTTAATCTTGAACCGTTGAGAGAAAACACAAAGTGGATCCAAGGGTTGAGGATCACTTTTGGGATGCATCACATGGATCAGATCATGCCAACCCGCCCTATGGGGGTCCCACAGGCTCATTTGTCCCTAATTGTCATATCCTGGAGAAAAATACCTCAAGGTACAAGTGGAACTTGTTAATAAAATATGTTCATGTCATGTTATTTTTCCATTGATCCAAGGCTATTGATGGTGTTTTGTGTGTGTATATTTATGACATTTTCACTGTCAACACATACCATTGTTGTACATCGGAGGGGCTTATAGTCTTGTGAGACCACACCAACCACGTATGTGGTGTGGCCACCACCGTGTACTAGAGAGAACGAGGCCCAAGGCCATTTGGCCAGAAGCTTGTTAGTGAAGACAGTGAGAGTTGTTTAGGAAAGGCCATCTCGGAGATCTACTTGAGCATGGGAAATGCCTAGGGGCTATTCATGGAGTTACTCGACTGGGAGCTTTACCCTAGCGAGGGCATCATCGCAAGGGGCTCCAATGAGGACTAGGGGGAAACGTGAGATTCTTGATACCTTGATAAAATTATCAGAGTCATCAACGAGAGTTTGCATCTCTGTCTCAATTAAGCTTCTGCATTTATATTGTGTACTTAGGTTGTGTGTGCTTTACTATTCTAGTTTCGCTTGCTAGGCTAGTTGATAGGATTAGAACTTAGGTTGCATAACTCTTTTGCGGTAGATACATCAATACACCTAGCAAAACTGCACATCTCGGTAGATTGTTTAATTGCATATATTTTGACTAGTGGAAATTAGAGGCCGTAGTTTAGAGTAGATTTGTAGAGATCAGCCCCCCCCCCCCGGTCGTTAGGCGTCACAGTCCCTTCAGTAAGTTTTTGATTTGAAGTTGGGTAGAGTCTTAAATATTTGTTTTAAATTCACATATTCAGATTCAAATTTTTAAAATTTTCATATCTCGTATGGAGACAACCTTTATCAAAATTGTAAAGCTCTACAAGACCTAAACTTTATAGTTGAGACTTTTTCCATTTGAAATCATTTAGAGGCTAAAATATTTAATACATGATTACAAAATGTTGATTAAAAAGGATTACAAAATGTTGATATATAATTATATACTCACAAATAAGTGTATAGTTTATTTCCTCAGAAAAAGTATATAATTTAGTGGGAGAAGAACATTATACGTTTTGAAGGTTCAAAAGAAAACCATTTATAGAGACAAGCATCTTAACATGTATGTCTCTGTAAATGGCATTAGTGATGCCCATCTCTATTAATCAATTTACAAAGACGGTTCGCATATGCCCACCTCTAGAAATGGTCAATTAACCGTGACTATGCCAGAGGCAGCTGTGCTTCCTGCTTCTAAAAATGAATTTTGACCGCCTCTAGAAATCCAAAATCCTTTTATCTAGTAGTGTAACGTTACTCCAAATTGTTCAAGCCTCACAACAGAGATGAGCAAATCACTAAAAAGTAATATTTCTACACTCTACAGACTAGTGGAAGTTTTCTACACCTTCAATTCTAAATTAACTTATTCCTAAATTGAACTTGTATAACGTTGACCAAGCTTTTATATTAATAGCATCTATAAGTTCCAATAAATACACTATTAAAATATATTAAACAGAAATTTTGATGAAACTAATTTAGTGATTTAGATGTAGGTGCTTTATTTATAAACTCGGTCAAGACTAGAAAGTTTGACGTGTGATAAAGCTAAAGTAAATTATAATTTGAATCCAAGGGAATGAACTCTTATCTAAGTTTACATGTACCAAACTAACCCCTAGCACTTGCAAGTATACTTGGCCATCGGGCCGGCCCGGCACGAGCCTGTGCCAGGCACGGCCCGGAGGATGTCGGGCCGGCACGGCACGCGGGCCTCCCGGGCCGTGCCCAGCAGGGCGTCGTGCCTGACCAAGGGCCCAGGCACGGCCTGCCAAGCGTGCCAGGCTGGCCCGAGGCCCACAGAGAGAGGGAAGGGGAGAGCAGGAGGCAAGGGTAGTCACGGGGAGCGGCCGCCACCGCCGGCGCGCTCGCCCTGGTGGGGAGGGGGCTGTGCGGGCGGAGGGGAGGCAGCCAGGGCGCTTGACGCCGGATCCGTCGGGGTGAGCGGAGAACGGAGCAGGGCGGAGCAGGGCGGAGCTCGGGGTCGGCGTCCCATGGCCCGCTCACTGGAGGAGGTTGCCCGCTTCATTGGATCAGATAGTTGCTTTCGCCGAATCCGGCTACCACCTCGCCGGATCGGCCAGCTCCACCGTCTGCGTCGCAAGCGCGCGCCGATGGAGGAGAGGAGAGAGGGCACCGCCGGAGACCTCCCCGTGCCTGCCATAGCTGGATGCCTGGATCCGGCCTCCCCGCGCAGCGATGTCGCCGGATCTAGCGTCCCCGCGCCTTTCTGGCACCGTAGGGAGGAGAAAGGGCGCACGCCGCCGATGGGAGAGAGGCAGAGAGAGGGCGCGCGTGGGCCGGCTGGGGCCAGCGCCGCCGTGCTCCTGGGACCACCGCGCCGCTAGAGGGTGAAGGTCGGGCGCCACATCTCGGAGACGGAGAGGGAGAGGGCCCGAGAGCGAGAGGGTCGGGCGCCGCATCTCAGAGACCGAGAGGGAGAGGAGGGGTGCAGGTGCGGAGGGGGAGAGGAGGGGTGCGGCGTGGGGTGTGGGTCTTGTGGAAAGTCTGCGGCGGCGTGGGGCGGTGGGGAGAGGGACTGAGGAGGGTGCGGACCGTGCAGTGTCTGGGTGCGGCGGGGGGAGTCTTGAGTGCCATGGGAGGGAAGTGGAGTGAGGACTGAGGAGGGCTGCCTAGAGGGGAAGGGAGGGGGTGGCCAGCCGGGCCGTTGCCGGGCCGTCTGTTGAAGGCCATGCCATGCCGTGCCAGCCCACAAGCCTGAGCAGCGGCCCAGGCACGGCCTGCTCTCTCGGGCCGGGCCAGCCCGGGCCCGCATGTCACTGGGCCGGGCCGTGCTCGTGTCGGGCTAAAAAAACGGGCTTCGTGCCGTGCCGTCGTGCCTCAGGCTACATGGCCAACTATACTTGCAAGATTAGAATTGGGCAAGGTTCTGGGATTCGGCCCGAAAGGACCGAATTTCAATGAAATTCGTCCATTTCGGCCTCGCCCGAGATAAAGACTAAACCAGTCAAATTATTTTGGCCCAATTCAAATTCTTAGCGCATTCTATGGTCCAACAAGCAGCCCACCAACACACCCTCATCGGTACAACCCTAAAAACTTCCTCACGCCTCCAGCGAGCGCGCTTGCTTCCTTTGCGAGCCACCGCCAAGCAGCGCCGCCTCTGCTCCCCGTCGTCAGCGCCAGCATGGTTGCCACTCGTATCGCCACAGCAAGAGCCAGCGACTGAGCTCGTGACATGGCCGCTCCTCAACGCTCACCCCCGCACCATGGCCACACCTCGGCGCCCGCCGCCGCGCCATCAGTGCTTGTGCTGTGCCGTCGCTTGTCGATGCAGCCACCACTGCTTCGTCGCCAGCCTTCCCTTCGTCTACGCGTTCCACACCGGCGCTGCACGCACGCTCTCCGTGCCCATTGCCATGTTTGACGGTTTGGGAATGTTTGCTTCAAATTTGTTCAAATTTGCTCAAATTTATAGTGGATACCGGTCCGAATTTTTTCCACAAATGAATCCCAGAACCTTGGAATTGGGGTGAGAAGCCCGAGCAAACTTCCCTTTGTTGAAACCTCTCTGCCGCAGTTCTCGTTGTTGTAATGCTGTCTGATGTACGCAACTGAAGGACTGATGCAGTGCATATCTCCTGCAATCCATTAATTGTAGAACAAGTTTGCACCTCTTGTCTCGTGTTGCTCCCTTCACGAGCTACCCGATTACGGGTTACCTGCTGCGTTTTCAAACCATTTGAGCAGCTCGCCCAGCAAACAAATATAGTTTGGTCCAAGTAATCTAGTAGTAGTAATCTCCCTCAAATCAAGGCCTTGTTTAGATCAAAGTTCCAAGTTTTTTCACTCTCTCTCCATCACATCAATTTTTGGACGTATGCATGGAGCATTAAATGTAAGTAAAAAAATAACTAATTGTACAATTTGGTTGTAAATCACGATACGAATCTTTTAATTCTAGTTAGTCCATAATCGGACAAAGTTTGTCAAATACAAATAAAATGTGCTACAGTATCTAGATTGTAAAAATTTACAATCTAAACATGGCCAAGTAATGTTTCTAAAAGAAACGAGAAAATGGTTTAACTACCCAGAGGCCAGAGCTAGCCCCTCGGCCGCCAATCCTCTCCCATTCTTGCTTGGCACAACAGTAACTGCGACGAAATGGCCGGCCGGCCACGTACGTCTACTGAATTTCCTCGTCGTGACCTTCAAGCCAAAGCACTTGGCACGCGTTTTGACATGCATCAGACATCACACGTCGACATCCCCTAAACCTAAGCGTTTGACCTTCAAAAGGCAGCCTTGGCCTGGGCGCTTGGCCACCACACCTTTTCCTGGCTCTATATAACCCTCGTCACACACCATTGCCTAACTTCCTAACAACAGACACAGCACCAGACCACGGTTGGCTCCCCGATCCTGAATTCCCTTCCTGATGGAGCATCAGAGGTCGAAATCCATGGAGATAGAGCCCACCATCTGGCAGTCCGCGCGCCTGCAGGCCACCGGCAGCGACGAGCTGGGGCAGTCCTGCAGGGTGTACTGCCCGCCGGCGACGGGGAGGGTCCCCTTCGAGTGGGAGGACGAGCCAGGGAAGCCCAAGGGCTCCGCCAGGTTGGACGTCGTCCCGCCACTCTGCCCCTCGCCGGCCATGCAGAGCGCACGGCTCACTGACCGGCACAGCCCAAGGCGCAAGAGCAAGCAGAGCGCTGGGACGGCGGCTGGTGGTTTCGAAGGCTGCATTCCGCTGAGGTTCCACTTGGGCAGGGCGATGAAGAGGTGGGTGTAAAGAAACAAGAATTTTATGTAAGGGACACTTTATGTACAACTGTAATACTAGTATATATAAAACGATATGCTGAATTGCTGATTACTTGCAACACATGTAAAGCACGTAACGGAACTCTTAGCCTTTCACATGTACATGAATCCAACAGTTTGTAAGACCATGTTCAATTTAAAATACATGATACTACTTGCATCGCAAAGTTGATTATTTCACCTCTAAGTAAAACAGCGGCGTCTGCCATAAGCATGGCAATACATCTGCGAGACTTGAGCACAACCATAGTGTCAGGTATTCAGCTAGGAGGCCATGGGAGGACCCAGGGCCCGGCGACCCTGGGCGCCTGCCGGGCTCCCTTGCAAGCGGCTCTGGACAACAGAGGTCGCACACACCGCACATAGTAGCAGCTTTTGTGGTCTGTTTTGACAAGAGCGTGACGCCTGCACATAGTCCTACTGATTTGTTGTGAGAGAAAAAATATTATTTGGGCTGAAAAAATAAATTGAAAAAGACGGATTATAAAAGAAGCAGTTCCAAAATGCAGTAGCAGTCGAGTAGCAGAAAAGCACAATGAATGGAGGCTCATTAATTAATTGAAAGCTGTTGCTTAAACTTCGATAATGGCAGCAGGACCAATGGCTATACTATACACTATATATGCTCCAGCACCCCTGTGTTACTTTTATGTTTGCTTGCTACTGTATTATACTTTCAATAAATGGTTTCTTTAAAATACTTTTTTTATCTAATCACCTGTCTTATTTTTTTCTATCATCCAACCGTTACGTCTGTTTCTGTCTACATGTTTCTCATGGAGACATACGCCCTATTTGTTTAGGCTTGTTTGGCTGATAAGCCATGATTGAAAGTATTGTTGGCTGATTTGGTGCGAAAGAAAAATACTGTTCGTTGGCTGAAAAACTACGGCTTATAAGCCAAACAAGCCCAAACGAACATGGCGTTTCTTACTCCCTCAAGGCGCGATTTGACTTATGAAATTCTAAAGAACATATTTTGACCTATAATTTCTCTATAATATATAATTTATAGGAACAAAAGTTTTATCATTAGAAAGTATTTCTAAATACAAATTTCATGTAACTATTTTTTAATACAAATTTTGATATAATTAAGCTAATTGTTAGTCAAAGATAACAAAGTTTGAATTTTGAAATACGTGCATGCCTTATATTCAGGAGCGAGACATTTTAGCATCCACTCGTGTAAATTAGCTTCCATGTAGGTTTGCAACCCCGTCCGAAATCCTACCCTCTTTATTTAAGGTCCGTCCAGGCTCCGCTCAATCTCTGGGTCCGCCACTGTAGGAGGCGTAGCACTATTTGTGTATCAGAGAGTAGGAGAGCGGAGTGGCTGAGGGCGTGCGAAGGCTGGTTCAGTCGGGCAACATGCAGGTCAGTCAGGCATATGAAGTTGAGCTAAGAGTTGGTCTGGCATAGTTTAGTTGATCTTGATCAGGCTTGAATGGAGTTAGGTAGTTAGAATACAGCTGTTAATCTGCTAGTGGACCAAGGCCTGGGCGGTATATGCAATGTACTGAGTTCATCTTCAGAGAACAGAAATAACAAACTGTCTCTCTCGAACTCTTCTACTCTTGCTTTCCTTGTCTGAATTCCAATTCCTACCCAGTTATCCGTTAAGTTCTAATTCACAACCTAACAATTGGTTATCAAAGCTACTTGATTCGAGCAGAATTTTTTCTTTTGGCATCACGTGCGCTCAATCTGGCGCCTGCTCGGAGACCGACGAAGGCACAAGTGCAGATGGTGGCTTCCATGGACAACCTGTCCACTAAGTTTGATGAGCCTGCAAAGCAATTTGAGGGGTTTCACACCATGATGAAGCAGACTCTTGACACGTTGAGCGCCATGAAGCGTGAAAAGCCTCCGCCGATGAAGCTTTGCGTCACTAGGATCGACAAGAATTAATATCAGTTGTTGCTCAAGCAATTCTATGTGTGCACGCAGAATCTTGTTGTACAATAACAGCTATGATGATACATATTTTGTGACCAGATTCATAACTGGTTTGAAGGAGGATATCAGATCAGTGAACAGTGATTGATCTTCATCAACCAAAAGATGTGGATACTGCCAGTGCGTTGGCACTACTACAATTAGCGGAATTGAGCATATCTAGGATCACGCCTTTTTGGAAGGATTTCACGTAAGGCAGTTTCAGGCAGAATCCTAAAAAGCAAAAGTTGGGAGAAGCAGATAAGAACAAAGCAGTTAGCCAAAATTAAGAACATGAGGATAAGTTAGCTACTCTGAGGCTGCGTTTAGTTCGTAAAATTTGGGAATTTAGGCTACTATAGCACTTTCGTTTTTATTTGACAATTAGTTTTCAATCATGGACTAATTAGGCTTAAAACGTTTGTCTCGCAATTTCTAACCAAACTGTACAATTAATTTTTTTCGTCTATATTTAATGCTCCATGCACGTATCGTAAGATTCGATGTGATGGGTACTGTAGCACTTTTTTGGAAAAGTTTTCGCGAACTAAACAAGAGCTGAAGAAGTTTAGAAGGAAAAATGGTTTGTGATCCAAGTGTGGGGGAAAGTGGAGTCACAACCACAAATGTCCTGCCCATGTGCCATTGCATGTCTTAGAGGGGCTGTTGGATGCTTTAGAAACTGTTGATCAGGAAGCAGTAGAAGAAGTGGAGGAAGAAGCTATCGTAGCTATGGCACATGCTGGTACTACTCAGAACATTAAAAGAAAGACTATGGATATTTGTGGCACAGTTAGGTAATTGAATGTTGATTTTTTTCCTGATCAGAAAAATACATGAAAAAGAAAGGTGGTAGAAAATTTGTTGATTTATGGTTAAAGAAGAAAAACAAGAAAACAGGGTTCTGTTGAATTTCATTTAGTTTCACCAATAAGATATGGAGACTAGCTTCATATTTAGAATTACAAAAAAAAAAGATTTTTCATCGAAAAGAGGTCTATGAAGACTTTTGGGAAAACATCAACGTTTGCTGGCTTATTTGGTTGCATGTCGGTTAGACCATCCATTCTATCTGATTCAGAACCCCACCTCACGTATACCAAATCTAAACGCTTCATATTAATGTAGCAATTTGGTGCTTGTTCTACTTGTTCTTATTTGTTCTTCGATTGTTTGCCGAAATAACCCTAGTGGTTTGGTTGTCATGCTCCACAAGATCATGAACCACTGGAGTTGGCGTATCAGTAGCTAAGATGCAACATTTGTTGATGGTTGAAGTTGGGTAATGAACATCTCTCCAATCAAAATCAAAGTTATCAATCTTCGTTGAAAGATTGGACCACCAATGTCCACCAAAAGATCGGACCATCCATACCCTCATCATAACGTAGCATTAGTTCTGCTTTAAACACTATGTAAGGCTATATAAGAATTGACAACAAAAAATGAATGAACCTATATGCAGACTAGTACATGCAATACCCTAAACAGCGAAGTTGGATTTCTGTTAGGCCTGTACATGGTCTGGTTTATGCGATTCGTGAACGAAAACCATCCCAATCAATAAGCGACATTAGTCTCGCGGTTCGGAACCCGCAGGTTGCACGGGTTAATTAGGCAGTGCGACACGCTAGCACGCTATGGCCATAGGCTCCACCGCTCCAGTCCCCTACCTCGATGCCTGGCTACGCACACACGCGCCATCTGCCTCTCCGGCCATGCCGGCATCGTGGTGCCCGACGCCTGCGGGAGGTGCCGCAGAGTGCTAATGGTTGCAAGTATTGCTCCAACTGCTCTGGGAGTTGTCCAGTTCAGAGTGCGTTTGGACGCGCGGATCGGTTCCATTTCTCACATGAAACACCGGAATCTGCACCAAACTTTTTTTGTCGATTCGTTTCTGAGCAGAAATGGCTGGAACCGTCCCGCGATTTTTGCCTAGGCTCTCCTCTGCGTAAAAACGCTTGTATTTTTTCAATTAATTATTGACAACGGCTCTGGTACTCCTCTTTTTTAAAACTGCACACATCTCAAAGCAGCCCATTCAATAAATTGATTTTTTATTATGCTTCACACCTGGGTCCCGAATGGGCCCAGCCCGTCCAAGCCCATCACTGAGTCAGGTCACGTGTGCAAGGTCACACGTTTCCCTTGCGGATGAGCAACACCTCCACTCCCTCCGATCCCCATGGAAGCGCTCTCCGCCGCTCCCTCCTCCGAGCCCCTGCAGAAACGCGGCGGACTCCATGCGTTGTGCTGTTTTCCTCTCTGCGACCGACACGTCTGGAAGCCGACAGACAGGCAGGACCTCCATCTCCCTCCTCCGATCCTCTACAGAAGCCTAGGGCGCTCCCTCCCCTGATAAGCGCGACGGATCCCACAACCCCAGGCCGGTGCCAGTGGCACCTCAGCGTATGGTCGTATGGAGGGCTGAAACAGCATCTCTGATCTCCACCGACCACCGAACAAAGAGGATCGGTACCTCAGAACTGGACACGTGACTTTCCAATTGGGTTCGTTCTTGGCACGGGTTTGAGTTGGACAGGCCCGGTCCATGCAGGACCCAGGTGCAAAATAACAAAAAATTAATTTATGGAATGGGCTGCTTTAAGATGTGTGCAAATTTTTATAAAAGAGGAGTACCGGAACAGTTCTCTTGGTTATTTTGAAGTGCAAAGAAATAAAACAAGTTGTATTTAAGTTTTCGTACACCCACAAAAAGTTGTAACCTTTTTTGAAGCATATTTTTATTTATATTTTTTTAATGGAAAAGACAACTTTACGTGGATTGGAATCCAGTCTAACGAGTAACGACAAAACGGTTCCGCAGAGCGATTCTGATTCATCACTTTAAACGTTTCCGGAGACAATCTACGAAACGTTCCTATGAGAATTCATAGCTCTACCAAACGCATCCTTCAATCTCACCTGACCAACTCAGTGCTCGCTACACCGCTGCCATCCGCAGCGGAGGGCGACATGCGCACGCGCGAGCCTGTGCCATGCTATTGCGACGGCCGGCCATGTCGAACA